TGACCAAATGGATAGACAGAACTATAGAACTGAAACCTAGTCACAGCACTTCTGCAAGGAGAAGTTGTTTAACACTCAGTGTCATAAGAGCATTCAAGTTGTAGGTCTTACATGTGGTATGACTGATAAGTAATAGTCTTGCTTTCCTGTAGGTACTTCTCCTTTACTATCTAATGTGTCTGAGGCTCTTCTTTCAGCTTCTGGGGTTATTCCAACATTTGGGCACTTTCCCTATAACATTGATACCCCACCTTTTCCCAGGTTTTACTACCTGAATTATACTGCAATGACTTTCAGCCATTTGATCACCCCAGTGGCCATAAGTTCATAGCCCCATGTTTGACCTTGAGATTTGGAAGTTATTCTTTCTGGTATGTTAAATTCCCTTCATCAGAAAAGTTCGCCCAGAGTTTAACTTCACAGTCTAATATGAATTCCAGATTTCAAATAACCTTTACTTTTTTGAAGGAATGAATTACAAATAGTTCACTGAAGTTAATTTCCTTTTCTGGAATGGTCTATTTATCTGTATCTGTGTATATATAAATGAAAGATATGTATTGTTTTGTTTTTCCTTATGAATTCTACAGATATTAATCTATGTAGAGACAGAATGTTCTCAAAAGAGACAATCACATTTTTGTGAGTACATTAAGTTGGAAGTGTTTAGGTGCAGCTCTGCTAGAGAAGGTAGAGCCAACACAGTTTTAACAAAAACAAAAGAGAATCTGTTGCTTTGCATTTTCAGATGTGATAGTCATGACCTGCATAATGATGTTTCAGTCAACTATGGACCATGTATACGACTGTAGTCCCGTAAGATTATGATACTGTATTTTTACTGTGTCATTTCTACATTTAGATATATTTAGATAAACAAATACTTATTGTGTTACAGTTGCCTACAGTGTTCAGCACAGTAACATGCTGTGCATGTTTGTAGCCTGGGAGTAATAGGCTATGCCATACAGCCTAGGTGTGTAGTAGGCTATACCATGTAGGTTTGTGTAAGTACACTCTATGGTGTTTGTACAAGAATGGCATCTCCCGAGGCTGCATTTCTCAGAACATATCCCTGTTGTGAAGTGACACATGACTATAATTATGAGCTAATATTAATGCATGAAAATTGGGTTCAAGTTATTCCAAACTAAAATATCTAGGGAAAATGTATATCCAAGGTATGCTGATAGCATTAGTGATTATTCTCAGGTTGAGAACACATATATACTGTTTACAAGTAAACTAAAGCATAGTTTGTTCACCAGTCTTCTTGATTAATGGGTCCTTAGAGTTCTCAAACATAAATCTTAATCTTTTAAGGTAGCCTGGGGGTTATGTTTGGTTTGTCAATCAGGATGGCACAGAACATCCCCAAAGGAGAGACTGCTCCCTCTCTGGATAGTTTATTGATAGTTTATAGCCTGTGAATACTCAATCCTGTTAATGAGTCAAAAGACTGTGATTGTTGATTATTCCAGCTTCACAGGGAACCAGTAGGCTATAAAACAATATTATAAAGTGCTTTTTGTTCCTCAGAAGAGAGACACTTTGCAACAATAAAATAAATATATCTTTAATAGTTTACATTCCTTTGGAACACTAGAAGTTTACTCTATCCAGAGTACCTTGCATGTGATAGATCCTGTATAATTATAAGGAAGGGAGGACTCTACACACCCAGGTATAAGGTATGATCCCCAAATATCTGAGACACATCTCAGTCAATTTCGAAAGTTAATTTTGCCAAAGCTAAGGATGTACACCTGTGACACAGCCTCAGGAGGTTCTGATGACATATGTCCAAGGTGGTCAGAGCACAGCTTGGTTTTATACATTTGAGGGAGACATGAGTCATCAATCAATATTGGGACAACTTGGTAGTGGGGAGGGGGCGTCCAGGTCATAGGTAGATAAGAGACAAATGTTGCATTCTTCTGAGTTTCTGATCACCCTTTCCAAAGGAGGCTTTCAAATATGTACTTTTCTCAGTGAGCAGAGGGATGATTTTGAATAAAATGGGAGGCAGGTATGCCCTAAGCAGTTCCCAGCTTAACTTTTCCTCTTAGCTTAGCGACCTTGGGGCCCCAAGATTTCTTTTCCTTTCACAAAGGCAAATATCTAAGGTTAAAAGGTGAAGATCCCAGGTATTCAAATGACTTTTCAATAGCCTGTATTGAACTTGTCTTATTTGCCTACGCCCACTGCAAAGGTATAAATACCCTATAACTTCTGTAATTGTTCGTTACCATCAGGTCACTGCCAACTGGTCTCCCTGTCTCCAGGCTTAGCCCATTCCAATATATTCTCTACTTTGCAGCTGAAATGTTATTTCCAAAATGTAAATGTAATCCTGTATCTTCTCTCTTTCAAATCCTTCAGTGGCCTTCTGTTGCTCTTGGATAGAGGGAATCTTTACCAGGTTCACAAGGTCTAACATAATCACCCACTTAACCTCTTCAAAAACATCTCTACCCATGCCTCCTCCAACTCTTAGATTAAGCTATGCCACTTATTGGCCTTCTATTTACTTAGCCTGTAATTCTCCCCAACCCCCACACTGACCCTCAGAAAGGGTCTCAATTTAGATCTCATGTCCTCCTCTCCCATATTCTGTTCTTACTATTCTTACTTATTCTCCCAATTCTGCATCATAAAAGACCTAGAAACTGTGATGGCAAAGCACAGACACTCTTTGATCTTTCTGGGCGTGCTGGGAAGTGGAGAGGCAGTGAGGGCACATGGAAGGAAGAGTCCTGCATCAATAAGTTTTATCTCCAGCACATAAATGACTGAGATGTCTGTTCCAGTTAAGAACAAAGCTGGTTGCTTCCCTTCCTCAAGATCTTGTGTAGCCTCATGGTTCCTGCTGTGGATAAGAAGCTGGATTATAATGGTATGCCAGATTCTCTGGGTCTAAGGATCTGGCCTTTTTTCCTGGGTGAGTGATCTGCCCCTAGGCTTGATTATCATGTTTCTCCCATGTTTCAAAATGTCTGATCCCAGTTAACTCTAAGAATTGGTGAGAAATATTATTGTTTAAGACACTACTTAATTTATTATGTTTTGAATCTACTGTGGCTCCCAAGGCACTACCATCAGAGGTGTGCTGGTAAATGTGTAACAATTAGCCCTCTGGGGAAAAAGGGAAGCCCTTATTTGCAGTATTTTCTTGTTTCTGTGGTGTAAATGGTCAATTTCAAGCTACTGATGCAGGACTTTTTGCTCCTTAGCTCAGTGAGCTCTGGGTTCTTGTCTCATGACCAGGAAAAAGTAGGCATGCAGACACTCGAAGAGTGAGCAAGGCAGGGAGTTATATTGAGTGATGAAACAGCTTTTAGTGGGGAGGGGACGCAGGGATGGTCCTCCTACTTGAAGGCGGGAAAGTTCTCAATATAGCTGGGCCCAGGGCCTTTTATGGGCTCAGAATGGGGAGTATGTGCTGATTGGTGTGTGACTATGCAAAAAGGTCAAAGCAAAGACAACACTCAAAGGTCGGCACAACAGTGTAGAAAACCAACTAGGGAAGGGCAGGTATATGTAAAATAGATGAAGAATGGGGATCAATCAGAGGAAGGTATGCCAAACGGGAAGGTGGGTTCTCGATCTGGTCCGAGGATTTAACCTGTAGCTTTGCTTTCAGGCTTTAAACTATCTTCGGCTTGTAGGTGGGATTTTGCCGGGGACCTGCCCCTAAGCCTAGGCATTTGGCAGCCTCCTCTCACTGTCACTACCAACATGTAGTAGCTCACCAAAATGTTGTATTTCAACTTGGCAGATAAAACAGATGCTAGTAACCTCAAGAGGTAAATAATAGTAAAGTAGTAAAACAATATAGAAAAAAAAGTAGCAAAATAATTAGGCAGTGATGGGTTTGAGTAGTTGATATCTTTATTTTAAAGTAATTTAATTATATTTTAACTTTGCATAATGGCTTGCAAAATTTCTAAAAATTTAACAATTCTCATAAAATGGTATGAGCCACCTCTAGTATATCACTGAATACTATTTTATCCTCTTAGCATAAAGTTCTCTTCACATTAAAATTAAGAAAACATGGAACTCACCCTCCTAAATATGTATTTAGAAAATTAACTTGTGTGTAAATGTAGAATTGTCAGTTAGGTATTGAAACAATTGCATAAAAGCAAAAAAAAAAAAAATTATGAGATATTACACTGATCTTTTCTCACTATTAGTCTATTTTCGTTTGTTTCAGTGTGTTTTTCTTCCACATAAAAAGAAAACAGACCAACTTAATAATATATGCAAGCTTGTATCTCCTGGGTTACAGCGTTGCTCAACTGTGGTCTGCTGACTCATAGCATTCTCATCACCTGGTATCTTGTTGGAAATAGAGAATCTCAGATACGAACCAGACCTCCTGAAGCCAAATCTGCATTTTGACAAGATCCCTAGCTGGTCTAAATGCACAGTAAATTTTGAGAAGCACTGATGCACTGCGTAAAGGCTTGATGTCAGATAAGCCTGGCTCTAGAATAATACTTTCCAATAGAAATTTCTGCAATAATATTAATAGTAATGTTTCATATATGTGTCACTAAAAACATTGGCCATTAATCACATTTGGCTATTGAGCACATGAAAATGTGGTTAGTGCCTGAGGAAGGTCCCCTTGAGTATTAAGCAGAGTATTGATTGGCACATGTGTATGAGAAAAGTATCCAGACTGGACAAAGAACCATCCAAGATGATTAAAGAGAATAGTACTCAGCTCTACTACAGAGAAAGGAGTAGTGCCTGCTTCTATAATCCAACCTGGAAAATGTTATATCATGGAATATTTAGTAGAAGACTCAAAAAGTTCTTGCCTCAGCAGTCAGAAATAATCTAGACTAAGTGCACCTCCGGTCTCACCTAACATCTTAAAAGCAAGACTAAAAATTATTTTCAAGTAAGATACCAGCATCCTAGAACAAAGTTCAAGAATACCTATGGGAATATAAAAATATCCAACACCTAAGCAGATTTTTTTTTATTTAATAAAGTTTTATTTTTCCAAATGAACAGTTGGTTGGACCTATTCGTGCATCTTCACCAACAGCTGGAGCATCTCCACCCTTTGTATTTCTGGTGTAAATTACTTGAGCTCTGTGCTTTGAAACCAGTTTGATAAATCCTTTACTAAGGAGCTCCTGAAGGGCTGCCCTGGCCAGGGAGCCTTGAATCTTCAGTCTCTCAGAGACCACAGCTGGGGTTATTAGTTTATAGTTGGAAACTTCCTTACAGAGTTTGTTATAGGTAGCTTTGTCAAACAAGACTATGTTATTGAGCTTGTCCTGAACTTTGCCTTTGGACCACTTCTTCTTTTTGGCCTTGCCCCTGGATTTGTTCACTGGGTCTTTGTCTTTCTTGGCCAACTTTCCAGCATCTTTCTTCTTGTTGTCCTTGAGCGCATTGCAAAGCTCAGAGAGCAGTGGCAAACACAGCCTTGCTAAGATGTTGGACAAAAAGCAGCAGATAAAATTTAAAATGTCTGATATCCAATCAAAAATTTCTTGCAAAGAAGGAAGAAATGATACAGATTTTAGAACTAACAGATAAAGACACTAAAAGATATTGTAAACATTTTGTGTACATACAAAGAGATAAGTAGGTATGTGAAGATATAAAAAGGATCTAACCCAAACTTCTAGAGATGAAAACTGCAATGTCTGAGATGAAAAAGACCCTGGATAGGATTAACAGTAGACTGTAATTACATTAGAAAAGATGAATGAACTTGAACATATAGCAATAAAAACTATTCAAAATAAATCAGAAACAATTTATTTTAAATGAAAAGAGCCGTGAGCTGTGAGACAATTTCAGTGGCCTAATATATATGTAATTGGATTCCCTAAAATAGAGATGTAGGACAGAGGCAAATATTTAGAAAAAGAATGGCCAAATATTTTCCAAATTTGACGAAAGCTATAAATCCACAGGTCCAAGAAGCTCAATGAACCCAAAGCTCAAGAAACATGAATACAATGACATTAAGGCACATGATAATCAAATTTCTCAAAACTAGTCACAGAGAGAAAATCTTAAAAGCACTCAGATAAAAAAGATAAAGATGATATCAGATTTTTCACTGGAAACAATGAAAATAAGGAGACAGTGGGATAATCTTTATAGTGCAGAATGGAGAAAAAAACCTGCCACCTAGAATTTTATATCCAGCAAAAATATCTTTTAAAAATGAAGGCAAAAAAAAGACCTTTTCAGACAGACAAAAACTTAAATAATTTATTACCAGCATATCTTCACTATAAGAAATGTTAACATTTTCATACTGGAAGGAAGTGACACCAGGTAGAAATACAGATTTACACAAAAGAATAAAAAGCACTATAAGTGGTAACTTTGTTAATAAATATATGAGAGTTTTAATTATTTTTTAAATCTCTTATAAAGATAATTGACTTTTTAAACAAAACCAACATCAGTGTATTGAGGGTTTTATAACATGCATATAGGTAAAATGTGTGACAATCAGAAGTAATACCAATTCCACATGACCTCTTCCAGAAAAATATTCCTTACAGAAGAGGGAATATTTCCCAACTCATTTAATGAGGCCAGCATTATTCTGATGCCAAAACTATACAAAAGCATTACAAGGAAAGAGAACTACAGACCATCATTCCTGATGTACAGATAAGCAAAACTTCTAAAATCTCTCATCAAGACTCCTATTCCTATTTTATTGTCAAAGTTCTTGCCAGCAGTAATATTAATTTCCTAGTTGGTTTCTATGTCTCCCCTCTCCTCACTCCTATTCATTATACCTACTCTTGACAAATCAGTCTTCTTTAACATGATTTGATCATGCCATTGCTCTACAGAAGTCTCTAATTGCTCCTATTGCATACGAAATAGATACAAAGTTGTAAGGTTATTATAGAAGAGGCTGAGAAAATTTTTCCACTAGCAAGCTACTAGGTAGAGTGTCCCAGGTGATAGATTATTACTATGCACTTGTCCAATGTAGAAAATTTCATGAGGTGATCTTTGGTCCTTCTTATCCAAATTGTACTTTCTAACATCAAGCTCATCTGTAATAACATGGAATATCTATTGATCATGTGCTATGTGGTATTCATCGTGTAAGCACTTTACATGCATCATTTCCTCTGTAGAATCAGGATGATAATAGTATCTGCATTACAGAATTCTTAATGGGGATTAAAAAGTACGTATAAAATGCTATACAGTGTGGAAAATATTAAGTGCTATAATAAGCTATCATTGTCTAAGTACTTAGCCATGATTATTACTGTTGTTTAATCCGTATTACTCATTTAAGAAAATTATTGTATTAACTCTTTTTTTTTTTTTCTTTTGAGATGGAGTTTTGCTCTTGTTGCCCAGGCTGGAGTGCAATGGTGTGATCTTGGCTCACTGCAACCTCTGCCTCCCAGGTTCAAGCGATTCCCCTGCCACAGCCTCCTGAGTAGCTGAGATGACAGGCATGTGCCACCACGCCCGGCTAATTTTGTATTTTTAGTAGATACGGGATTTCTCCATGTTGGTCAGGCTGGTCTCGAACTCCTGACCTCAGGTGATCCAACTGCCTTGGCCTCCCAAAGTGCTGGGATTCCAGGCATTAGCCACCGCACCTAACCTTTTTTTTTTTTTTTTTTTTTGAGGCAAGAGTCTTGCTCTGTTGCCCAGGCTGGAGTGCAGTGGCATGATCTCAGCTCACTGCAACCTCTGCCTCCCAGGTTCAAGCAATTCTCCTGCCTCAGTCTCCTGAGTAGCTGGGATTACAGGCATGCACCACCATACCCAGTTAATTTTTGTATTTTAGTAGAGACTGGATTTCACTATGTTGGCCAGGCTGGTCTCAAACTCCTGACCTTAAGTGATCCACCTGCCTCGGCCTCCAAAAGTAATTGGGATTACAGGTGTGAGCTAACATGCCTGGCCTTACCTCTTATTTATAGATGAAAACGGGCACAGAGAGGTTACGTAACTTGCCCAGGTCACATCACCAGTAAGTCGTAGAACTCATTCTTAAGTTAGATTCTGTTTGACCCCCAAGTTCATATTCTCAACCACGTTTTGACCTGAGTCCAGTAAAACATTATTGATATGGTTTGGATTTGTGTCCCCACCCAAATCTCATGTTGAATTGTAATCCCTAATGTTGGAGGTGTGGCCTGGTGGGAGGTGATTGGATCACGGGGGTACTGCTTCATGAATGTTTTAGCACCATCCTCTTCGTGCTGTTCTCATGAGAGTGAGTGAGTGAATTATCATGAGACCTGGTTGTTTAAAAGTCTGTGGTACCACCCGCACATGTCTCTTGCTCCTGTTCCCGCCATGTGAGATGTCTCACTCCTCCTTTCCCCTCCACCATGATTGTAAGTTTCTAGAGGTCTCCCCAGAAACTGAGCAGATGCCAGCATTATGCGAGCCAATTAAACCTCTTTTCTTTTCTCTTTTTTTTTTTTTTTTTGAGACAGAGTCTCGCTCTGTCACCCAGGCTGGAGTGCAGTGGTGCAATCTTGGCTCACTGCAAGCTCCCCGCCTACCAAGTTCACGCCATTCTTCTGCCTCAGCCTCCCGAGCAGCTGGGACTACAGGCACCCACCACCACACCCATCTAATTTTTTGTATTTTTACTGGAGACAGAGTTTCACCGTGTTAGCCGGGATGGTCTCGATCTCCTGACCTTGTGATCCGCCTGCCTCAGCCTCCCAAAGTGCTGGCCATGAGCCACCGTGCCTGGCCAAACCTCTTTTCTTTATAAATTACCTGTGTCAGGTTTTTTTTATAACAATGCAAGAACTAATGAAGAAAATTGGTACTGAGGAGTGGGGCTTTGCTATAAAGATACCTGAAAATGTGAAAGTGACTTTGGAACTGGGTAATGAGCAGAAATTGGAAGAGTGTGGAGGGCTTAGAAGAAGACAGGAAAATGAAGGAGTATTTGGAACTTCCTAGAGACTGGTTGAATGGTTATGACCAAAATGCTAGTAGTGATATGGACAGTGAAGTTCAGGCTGATAAGGTCTCAGGTAGAAATGAGGAACTTATTGAGAACTGAAGTAAAGGTCACTTTTGTTATGCCCTAGCAAATAATTTGGCTGCTTTGTGCCCCTGCCCTAGGGATCTGCGGAACTTTGAACTTGAGAGTGACGATTTACGGTATCTGGTGGAAGAAATTTCTAAGCAGCAAAGTGTTCAAGATGTGGCCTAACTGCTTCTAACAGTCTATGCTTATATGTGTGAGCAAAAAATCAACCTATGTTTAAACTTACGTTTAAAGGGGAAGTAGAGCAAAGATTTGGAAAATTTGCAGCCTGGTCATGTGGTAAGAAAAGAAAAGCCCATTTTCAGGGGAAGAATTCCAACAGGCTTTAGAAATTTGTATAAGTAAAAAAGAGCCAATTGCTAATTGCCAAGACAATGGGGAAAAGGCCTGGAAGGCATTTCAGAAACCTTTGCAGCAGCCCCTCCTATCACAGGCCCAGAGGCCTAGGAGGGGAGGATGGTTTTGTGGGCCAGGCCCATGACCCTGGTTACCCTGCACAGCCTCAGGACACTGGTCCCTGCATTGTAGCCACTCCAGCTTCAGCCATAGCTCAAAGGGCCCAGGTACAGTTTGGGCTGCTGCTTCAGAGGGTACAAACTGTAAGACTTGGGAGCTTCCACATGGTGTTAAACCTGTGGGGGGGAAAGTGCAAGAGTTGAGGCTTGGGCACCTCTGCCTAGATTTCAGAGGATGTACGGAAAAGCCTGACTGTCCAGGCAGAAGCCTGTTGCAAGAGTGGAGCCCTCATGGAGAACTTCTACTAGGATAGTGTGGAGGGTAAATGTGGGGTTGGAGCATCCCCCAACAGAGTCCCCACTGGGGAGCTGCCTACTGGAGCTGTGAGAAGAGTGCCATCCATCATCCTCCAGACCCCAGAATGGTGGATCCACTGACAGCTTGCACCACGCACCTGGAAAAGCTGCAGGCATTCAGTGCCATCCCATGAAAGCAGCTGCAGGGGCTACACCCTGCAGATCTACAGGGGCAGAGCTTCCTAAGGCCTTGGGAGCTCATCCCTTGCATAAGTATGTCCTAGATATGGGACATGGAGTCAAAGGAAATTATTTTGGAGCTTTAAGATATAATGACTGCCCTGCTGGGTTTTGGACTTGCATGGGACTTGTAGCCCCTTTCTTTTGGTTGATTTCTCCCTTTTGGAATGGGAGTACCTACCCAATGCCTATACCCCCATTGTATGTTTAAAGTAACTAACTTGTTTTTCATTTTATAGGCTAATATGTGGAAGGGAGTAGCCTTGTCTCAGATGAGACTTTGGACTTTTGAGTTAATGCAGAAAAGAGTTAAGACTTTGGAGGACTGTTGAGAAGGGATGATTATATTTTGCAATGTGAGAAGAACATGAGATTTAGGGGGCCCAGGGGTGGAATAATATGGTTTGGATCTGTGTC